GCAGCTTGCTGGCCCAAGTCATCAGGGAGAGTTGATGCTTATCAACCCTGCCATATGAATCGATATTTCCTGTGCCCTGGGGCTACACAAGCTTAATCAAGAAAAAATAAGGAAGCACACTACATGTCAAAATTCCCTCATTAAATAAGCATTATATATTTTTAAAGTAACTATCATGGCATTATAAATTATGAGTTTAGTAGTAATGAAATTCAAATTGTAACAAATAGCAGATTTTATTGAATTTTATCATACATTAGACAATTTTGAGTAATGATGGATTCCATGCATTTAGAACTTTGCTTACAGAGATTTGACCCTTAAATGTGAAGAGCCAGTTATTGTTCTTGGAGAGAAAGAGTTTGTCAAAAAATTATGTACCACATTTTTTTATAGTCATCTTTGTAGGTACCTTTAAATTAGCTGGTCAGTTATTTAAATGGTGAGATTTGGGAGTATAGTCGTGAACATAAATTTAATGAATTATTACTAAATATAATTATTGATTTTTAACACACACACATTTGCTATTTCAAAAATAGTTGTATTCAGAAGTGTATACCTATTGCCATCTTGCTGTCAATACCTCAAACACTTGCAATTTTTGTTTTGTTTTGTTTTATTTTTACAATTATTCTCTGTGTCTGTGGCTTATCATATTCAGTGCCCTAAATTTGAAAAATCTGTACCTTCCAAGGGTTTATTAAAATTTTTGCAAAACACAGCATTCAATGGATATCTAAATTTAAGCAATGAGATGTATCAGCTGTTACTAATAATATGCATAATGTAATATACATCTTATTTATATATTATATATAGAGAAAAATACATATCTTATATTTATCTTTCTATCTATATTTATCTATCTATCTATCTAACACAGCATACATCTTTGGTTTCAGATCTGTCAAAGCATATAAGAGTAGGAATTTGAAATTAAAATCCATTATTGCACAAATTATATGTAGAATTCATGAAATATGGCAGTCTGTTTAGTTTCAATCTGATCTGGAAAGGAAACAGGACAAACAGGAACAGTTTTGAGCATGGATAATGCAACTACTCTATTTTTATTGGAAGAGCATTTACTTCAGCAGACAGACTATGCCAAAATGATACTTTTTATTAATCTGATATTCTGGTTGCAGGGCCCACTTTACTAGAACAGCCGCACAATTCTTGGTTTCATGTATATGATAATACCCATGACACAACAGGCTTTATCCAACATCAAGTGTATCCAAAGGTCACAAGACAAGTGATACAACAAGGATATCAAGAACTAGCAGAAGCTTTGTGACTCCCTGAAATGCTTCTGAGTGTGCACAGTTACTCCTTATCCAAGACTAGACTGAGTCGATTTAGGTACTATACCTCAGAGAAGCCTCCAGCTCTGGAGTCTATTCAGCTTTCTTTTTCTTTTCTTTTCTTTTTTTTTTTTAAATATTTTATTTATCTATTTATTTGAGAGAGAGTGAGAGAGAGCACAAGCAGGAGGAGCCGCAGAGGGAGAGGAAGAAGCAGGCTCCCTGCTGAGCCGGGAGCCCAACTCTGGGCTATATCCCAGGACCCCACCAGGATCATGATCTGAACAGAAGCCCTACGCTTAACCCACTAAGCCACTCAGGCACCCCTGGAGTCTATTCAGTTTTGATGCCTTAGTAGTCACGCAGCCTTCACAAGATTATGTCACCAGTTCCCATTCTCTGGTACAACGTCATTTAGTCAGTCCTCATTTATTATTCAGTAAATACTCCCAACAGTGAAATGTAGGTGCTTAGTCTAGTACACAACCACCTCCCCAGTTCTCATTTATTTTGGATCCAGTATACACCCATGAACTCCTTGAATTGCAAAGATGATTCAACCAAGAGTCAACTTTTTAGGATTTCCCGAAACTGAAGGAAAGCCCAAGAACCAGCTGTTAACGCTTTATTTCCAGTATTGTAGTGAAGGGATCACTGGTGTTGCTATCAATAATTTTTTTTTCAGTTATCATTTTGCAACCATCTCTCCAGAAAATGCATTCTTAAAATTTAAGGAATCAGTTGAGATATTTTCAATTCCAACTCACTTTATTTTATTGAAGTTTGATTTTAATAATTTCCATTTGAAACATTCCAATTCATTATAATTTTCTATTAACAGATAAAAAAATATAGTAACCCCAAAAAGGGATATGAAAAGATGGCATTAATTCTTTTTCTGCCTCATCAGAAGTAGAATTCTTTGAGCTGACTTATCTGCACAAATCTATACAAAGTATTAAGTTTCATTTTAATATTCTCCCACAGCAGTTTCCACTTACTCTCATAGGGCAGTGTTCCCCTAGATCTAATGTGGCACTACAAAGGACTTGAACATCAAAGCACGTAAACAAGGACAAGATGGGTGAAATCAACATTAATGAAATCTTTGTGCATTCAGAAATGATCAAACAGTGAAAAACACATCCTATTAACCACTGTGTTATTACTTTTTTTTTTCAAAAGAGAGCTTGTTCCTTAGAGAATAGTCCAAGTTGATTTATGTTACCACATATTGATCAACACTTACATAATTCAGGTGGTATAATTGTGAACGCGTTTCATGTGTTCAAAAATATGTGCCCACTATGTCCACGGCAATATCATGTGCCTGTTAGAGAATGAAAAGTAACATGTGTTTCTGCCTCTGCTATCAAGAATTTTCCACATGTCTCAGGTTCACATACTAATAGTTTCCTGGGGCATAAAAATACTGTTATTAGAACAGCACAGAACAGAACAGCAAATACTCATTTCTATTATATTAATCAAAGGAAGAATTGTTTTATAAAGTTTATAAAAGACACTCTTATACAGGAGAAAAATTCAAGTATTTTATTACCTCACTTTGCAGTCCTTTGGGAACTCATTATTTATTTGAAAGCATGGTATTGTTATCCATTCAGGGAAATACATCTTTGAAAAAGAACACTGTTTTAAAAATAGTGTGTACATCCATAGATAGTTTACCAGCAGTACTTTCCTTTCTCCCAGATAACCACTGCAGCTTTTAAAACAAGCAATAAAACAGAAATTCTCCATTATTAATAACAAGGCACTTCCCAAAGCAATGACATTTCAGAGTGGAAGTAAGGAATAAATTGTCTCTCAAAGAGTTGGGGGGGAGATATGGAAATATAGGTAACGATTCTGTTTTGGTACAAAGTCAAGTCAGTGAAACATGGGTCTCCATTTACTAGATTATTTACAGTATAAAATAAAAAAAAATACCAAGATTAGTTACCTTTACAAATTATCCCATGATTTAATGAATTCTTTGATATTTTCTCAATAAGTTTCTTGATTATAAACACTATTTTTACGGTGATTCATTTCAAAGACTAAAAATCCTTGATTCAGGAATAATGATTAATCACCAGAAAAACTGTCTTCCCTGAATGTATATTCAGTCACTCCCCTCAATGGCTTACCATTGCATGTTAGAATAAATGTGAGCTCCTTATTAAGACATAAAAAGCCCTGCATGACCTGGCCTTGACGTTTTTTCCTACCTTGAATTGGGCCATTAGTCTGTTGTTTTTCAGGCACCAGACTCAGTAGTTTTTGTTTTTTGTTTTGTTTTGTTTTGTTTTTAGTTCCTTCAATATTCAACCTCTTTCCTGCCTCTGGCTTAGGATCTTTTACATCAGGTAACTTACTTTTCGAATACTGGCCACCCCTCTCCAACATTTTGTCCTCTGGCAATTTTTAAATGGCTGGGTCTTTCTCCCCATTTAGGTTTCAGCTGAAATTTCACCACCTTCTTAGCCAGGCTTTCCTGTATAAATTTCTGTTTTCTTGTTTTACTGCTTATCTCTAGGCTGTAAGTTCTAAAGATAAAACTGTACATCATTTCTAGCCTGTTCATAGTTTTATCTCTAGCACCTACCATTTTAAGCACATTCTTGGCACAAAGAATATATTTGTTGAATAAATTAATGTCATGAAGTATATCTTATAGGCAAAATCCACTACAAAGGTGAAGATAATTTTCAGAGAGCCTTAACATTGTATACATTCATGTGTATAGTTCATATGCCTAATATGAACTGATTGCACATTATTGGACAACATGTTTGATATCATATTTTTTCTTAGATATATCTTAAGTGTATCTATGACATCTCAAAATTTCTTATTGCATCCTTTAATCCAAAGAGTTATAATTCAAATAGACATCTCTGTTGCTTTTTTACATGAATATATCTATTCAATGTTCCAATGCAATTATTTAAATTTTCTGCAGAGAATAAAATATGAAAAGAACATTAATCTATAGGCAACTTGGCTAATAGTCAATACAATTTTATGCTTGCTGAGTATGCAAATATGTGGCACAATCCAAAAGAAAGATGTTATCAAAATATGTCTCCTACAACTAAGTGAAATCACTAATTAGCAACAATATATTAAGCAACAATTAATTTGATTTGGTATATATATATTTTTTCATCTGGAATGAGGAAATACCAGCATAAAAACCAGACTGAAGTCCTAATTGTCTTCTCAATATATTCCTTTCCTTACTATGTTTACCTTATTTTGCTAGCTGTATTTTGTATTTTTTAAGCAATTGTGTATTTGAAGTTGGGATTTAATAATGCTTGCTTTATTTTCTTGCATTTTTTTTTTTAAGATTTTATTTATTTATCTGAGAGAATGGGAGACAGAGAGCATGAGAGGGGAAGGGTCAGAGGGAGAAGCAGACCCCCCGCTGAGCAGGGAGCCCGATGTGGGACTCGATCCCGGGACTCCAGGATCATGACCTGAGCCGAAGGCAGTTGCTTAACCAACTGAGCCACCCAGGCGCCCTTTCTTGCATTTTTTTCATTTAATTTGCTCCTAGAAATGTTATTAGGAATTTTAATTCTCCTTGAGGTTATTAAATATTCTAAAATGTATTATAATTCAACTTTATTTTTTCCTTTCTTTAAGTATCTGGACATCCTAAGACCTACAGGGTAACATGGAAAATATGGGTTATCATTTTCCCCCTTCTTATGTGTCATCCTATGCAGGGCCATGCGAATCTTCTCTGTATCTTTCCAGTTTTAGTATATGCGCTGCTGAAGTGAGCACTTTTCCCCCTTTTTAGTCTCAGGTTGAAGTTTTCCCCAGGAACTTCAATTTTAAACAGTTATGTCCCACCCAGTACATTTTTTTGTTTGTTTCCAGAAGATTGATTATTGTACATTCAGCACTATATTCCTCACCCTGTCTTCAGAAGAGTCCTACCATCTGTGTGTTCCTTTCCAGAATATTTCCTCCAGGTTGACATCTCAATTTAGAATTTAGTTACGTGATTGAGCTTCACTGTGAACTAGACTGTGATTGTGGTCATAAATTTCTTTTCTCTGGAAGGCTGCCTCTCAAATGTTCATCAGTTAGCAAGTAAAGCTAGTCAGTTCTATCTAAGTCTTGCTCATTCACCCTGAAAGCAATATTCTAGAAAGATAAAATGAATTTATACACACATGATAATTACATGTTAGCCTTTTTTGAACTTATAAAAATAATTTAAAAATTCTCTTATTCTTTTATAATGCTTTGTGAGACATGTAGTTTCCTTTTCATTTTAAAATTATTTCCTTTGCTTTTTATTTTTCCACATTACAATACTTGAAGATCTATATGAATAGGAAGAGAAACAGCTTTATGAATATGAATGTGAACAATTCATCAACTTCATTTTTTCTTGAAAAATTATACATGTTCATTCAATAAATTATTTTTGAATTTTTGAGAAGATTCAAAACATTTTAGGGAATAAATTAAATATAGATAAATTAATGAAAACAAATATATTTTAATGTTTTTATTTCAAAAATCTATTTCAGTTACAAAGCTAGATATATTTATATTTAATCTAGTCTGAGTCTATGATATTTTAATAACTTTTTGTTTATCATGCATTTTGACAGAATAATAGGCAAAAAAAAACAAGCAAAGAATGAAAACAACTGGTTTTGTACAAATATATGTTTTTAAAATATTGGGCATTCTTCTAAAAATTGGATAATGTTTTAAAACATACTGAAGCAATACAAGGCAAGAACACTAGGCAAAAACATAAAACAGCATTTCCTAGGATTTTATATTCTCTGAAACTCAGAATTTTATAAATTAAGGAAAATATAAACTTTGTGATATGGCTGAGTAATATAAAATTAATGGATGAAATTGGAGAAATCCACTTTGGGTAGGAAGATAAACTGCTGAGATATCTATAATACAGAAGGCTGAGGTATACAATCTCACAAAAACATTTTTGAAATGTAGGGGATGGGGCACCTGGGTGGCTCAGATGGTTAAGCGTTGCCTTTGGCTCGGGTCATGATCCCGTGGTCCTGGGATCGAGCCCCGCATCGGGCTCCCTGCTCTGCGGGAAGCCTGCTTCTCCCTCTCCCACTCCCCCTGCTTGTGTTCTCTCTCTGGCTGTCTCTCTCTGTGTCAAATAAATAAAATCTTAAAAAAAAAAAAAGAAAAAGAAAAGAAAGAAATGTAGGGGAAGGCGCTGATGTTATATTTCACCTACATTACAAATTTCTTCAGGGCCAGCCCTGATCCTGATAATCAAGAATTGACTCTAATTATAAATTCTATCATAGACACAGCAAATGGTAACTAGTTTTGATATGATGTTGTGCAGTTAACTGGGTCACCTACTCGCAGTCACTGTGCAGGTTAATTGGAAACAAACCAATGGTAATCCCATTGGTTTCCTGGTCTGCTATGACTGTCCAGAAAAAACTATTATCACATTCTGGAAAAGGGGAAGAGAGGTGAAATTTCTACAGGAGAATTATGATTCTCTGGGTCAGGAGCTGTGGGAGCCACTGTAAATCTGAAAGAGCCTTTTGTCATGGATCAGAAGCCAACAAAGGCCCTGGGCCAAGCTTTGAGTACACAGAGATTCTGCTCCAGGAGTCAGGAGCAGGATGGGTCGCTCACAGTGGCCACAGTGAACACCAGGATCTGGTCTCCGGGATTGTAACTGCTGAAGCTGCCGGTTTGGCATTGTCATGCTCTGATATCAGGAGGAGAAAGCCCTTCCAACCTTCCTGGCCTTGCAAGACCCACTGCCTGCCAGCTTTGTTTCTTCCCTTCCTTGGTCTGGCAGTTGCAATGGAACACAGGTCTCCAAAGTGCTTCCTGTCTCTATGGAAACTGGCAAGCAGCACCAGACTGATGGCCATGCTCCACAGTGGCTGGGCAGAGGGGTGACACAGAAGGTGGAGACCAGGTGTTCTACGCTATAAGACAAGCTGAATCCGGAAGGGATAGAGTCAAAGGAAAATAAATTATATGCGGTCACCTAGGAAAACAGAGTACTGAAAGTTGTTCGGACAAACCTAAAAGCTAGAATGAAATCAAGGGAAAATTGCTAGAGAATTCTAAATATTTGAAAGAACAGAGGGACATTTCAAAAGTGGAAACGTTTTGCACTTAGTTATCAGTCTTAATTTTTCCCCCAGTTCCCTTTCTCACATGATAGAGCATTTATTGTACTTCTCTTGAGAATTTTAAGCTTGCATTAATAACATTTGTGCTTTTCAATCCACTAGGCTTTAGGATGCAATACGTGTTTCAGTACACACAACTACTGAGCCACAACTTTCGCATTAGAAGGTTATTTGTTTAGAACGCCTTCAGTAATTTAGTGGAAGTAATAGCATGCTGTGTGTGCGTTTAGGTATATTTTTAGACTCTAAGCAACAAGAATGATCTTGAACTTTCTAAGATTCAGGTTCTTTGTATAAATCCCAAACCTGTTGAACAGATGGGAGCGGGGAGGGAAACACAAAGCTGAGAAGAGTTGGAAGGGGGGAGACCTAAAGAATAGTAAGCTACCTTTGTATTTCATTTAGAAATGAATTGCCTATTTCTTTTTTTTAAAGATTTTATTTATTCATTCGACAGAGAGACACAGAGAGAGAGGGAACACAAGCGGGGAAGTGAGAGAGGGAGAAGCAGGCTTCCCACAGAGCAGGGAGCCTGATGCGGGGCTCGATCCCAGGACCCTGGGATCACGACCTGAGCCGAAGGCAGACGCCTAACCGACTGAGCCACTCAGGCGCCCCATGAATTGCCTATTTCTGTCCATTTCTTCTATTTAAGAACCTGTAACAATACTGTGTATCTACTGATACATTTGGCACCTGTGCTTTTCATAACCAAAATATGAGAACCTTAATGAGACCAGTATTTTGCATTTAAGGTGGGGTTCTTGAGAGGCCACAAAAATATTTAAAAACAAGTCAAAGCATTATATATGCCACTTGCTTCAGATGCCAGCGACTCTGTCGAATTAAACAATTTTGTAGACTTAGTTGACAGTTTTCACAAAGTATAAATATATTCCCAAAGGAAGAACCAAAATATGGGGCATGTTTATCTCATGAGAAATTTATGATTTCTTATTGAAAAGCGAGATCTTAAATTCTCTTCACATCTTGTTTTTATTTGTTCCCCCTCACTGTTGTTAAGTCCAGTTCGTCCCCTGAGAAAGTTGTGCTCATTTTCAGAAAGAAAAATAATGAGGGTCCTTGGTTCCTGTTAAACAGCCCACAAAAGTTGATCATGTACCCTGACCAACCACTGACTGTAACTCAGTCCCTCTCAGATGTGCAAAGACTCAGTCTCCGCCTGTCTGTCTAGATATATCTCGGGTGATTATTGCCCTGAGTAAGTAAGCACTCATGCACCGTGTGCACTGATCCACTGTTGCGGCCCGCATTTAATCTTTAGTGCAGGAAGAGAGATGGAGAAAACCATCGCCTTCACTCATCATACATTCAGGAGATAGCAAGGCTTGAATAATGACGTTTCTGGAAGCAGAGCCATGTTTTGGGATCAGTGTTCAAACACGCGTTTTTGCCCTGTCTGCTCTCTTTCAACAATACTGCTGGCTTCAAAGATCTCTCTTTGCCGCTTTGCTTATTGCATCTCTGCGGTAATTGCACATCACAGCCTGTCAGCAAGGTCGAGGTGGCCATGATCTCAGAATTTGCTTCTTTATGTACTGTGTGACAGTGTGTTGGGTGCTTGGTGATCAGTCAGTGAAAGCGTGCTTGAAATGTGGGAAGCAAGGACAGCTCTTAACTAACTGAGGTCAACAGGGGTCAAGACTCAGTTGACCTGATTTTGATTTTGGTAATTCCTGATCCAGACAAGAAAAGGTTTGAGCCATTTTTCCCTAAGTATATGAGAAATAGAAACATTGAAGGAATAATGGCAGCTTCTCTGTCTGCTATTTAAAGACAGGGTCAGGAAAGCCATCTTTGCAGACTACTGAATAATTGTTCTTCATTCAAATGTCTTTCACAGCAATAAATCAGCAAATTGTTTCCATATAACTACTGAAACTAGCCTAAATGGTTTTCAATCCCTGACGCTAGTTAGAAATAAATTTGGTAGTCTAAGAAAACTATCAGTTCAACGGTGTAGAGGAAAAAGAGATCAATTTGAAGGACTTTTATTGGAAAAATGATGAGTGGGGGGAAAAAGGACTCTTGGAAAATGATTTGAGGAAAAAGGGGAAAGGGGACTGAAGAGACTCAAAATATGAAGAGAAGAACTTCAAAAATAGAGCTGTATTGCATTGGAAAGAGTTCATTGGTTTTCAGAAAAAAAAAAAAAAAATTTATGCTAAATATGTAGGTAAGAGCCCCAACAAGAGACATCAAAGGTGGCTTTTCCAGTGGTGTGCTATGTAAATGATTAACAACTGCCTCTGTGGAGAAAAAAACAAAACAAAACAAAACACTGACTTGAGCTGTTTGCCAATCTCCATAGTGAAAAGACTCTCACTGAGGTCCATTTGAAGCTAGCAGAGTATGTCTTTGAGCATAAAGTGAGAAGAGTTACATTCCCTTGGCTCTCATGAGCTGGGATGAGCCAGCTCTAGCACATCACAGCTTTTACTTGAATTTCAAATGTTCCTTCACTTATTAAAAATAGATGTAAAAATTTAAATGCATCTTTGAAATGTTTAACTCCAAACTCCATGCTTATTTTATAGCAGTTACTCAGTCAGAATTAAGTTCACTTTCTTTTCCAAGCAGTTTTTTGGTTAAGCA